TGAACCATTGGCATGAAGGGGCATCCTTCGAATGCCAGGCTGTGCTTTGGAGGCAGACGGCCAAATATCTCCAAGGTCCAGCATAGCAAAAGGGAAGAAGTCCTTCCCCTCGTCTGCTGCTTTCTGTGCCATCCTCAAAGAAGCCTTCCAAATCCTCTTCTTTCACAACCAGCCTTACACCCAGCAACTTTTGACGTTATGAGAACACCAAGCAGCCAGACGTTTAGACTGACACCATCAACTGCATTCCCCCAGCAATGTTTCCTCTAAACTGTGGAGTTGTGTGAGCAAAAATTCTACTTTGTGAGTTACTGGCATTAAAGTTGTGAGTGAGCGATTTGGCTGCTGCATAAATGAGTTTGCTCTGGAGCCATCCTTCCTGAGCTAAGACAAAAATGTGTGATCCGGAGGCAAAAAAACTGTGAGCTGGCTCACATTAACTCAGCTTAGAGGGAACACTGTCCCCCAGGCCCCCGCCCAATTTCCTCCAAGCAACTCAGGATCATGTCCTTCTTTTCGAATACCCGTGGGTTAGGCTAGGCTGTGAGAGGCTGTATGACTGGCCACAGTTCAGCCAGCAAGCTTCTCAGCTGAGTAGGAGACTGAACATGGGTCACCACAGCACCAGATCAATACTTTAACTCCATCACCACCACACTGGCTTTTGGGGCCATCTGGCACCGATCTCTGCTTTACTACTGAACGCCAGAGATATAGAAAAGAATGCTGCAAATGCAGCAGCACCTTTGGAAATCTGAAATAAGAAAACTGGTTGCAACAGCTGATTGACGTTAGCTGCCTTCCTCTAGCGTAAGCCAGGGAATGGGCAATAGCTAGTACTGAAACGCTAGGAAGCACTTCTCTCAAAATGTGCTTCCAGTCGTTCAAAAGTCAGCACAGCATGGCGGTTAAAGTGCTGCACTAGGATTTGGGAGACCCAGCTCTGAACCCCCAGTCTGCTGTGATGGCTCACAAGAGGGATATGGGGCCAGTCACACACTCTCTGCCTGTTCTACCGCACAGGGTCGTTGTGAGGCTAACATGGAGGAGAGGAGAATGACGTAAGCTGCTTTGGATCCCCACAGGGGTATAAATGAAGTGATTAAATTAAGGGCTGCCATCCTTTTGGGTTATTGATCTACCAACTGCTATACACTCAGTGTGATACATAAAATAAAAAGACTTTAAAATGTACTACTTTTTTGTCTTTCGGGGTGGGGTAGGCTACGTTTTATGTTACTGCGACTACACTCTCCCTTTCACCCGCCATGAAACCTGAGCACCAGAGACGCTTCACAGAATGCTTCTGGAATGGTGCCCAGGATCCACATTACCTCACAACTTGCCACAGGGGGTTGTTTTTCGTTCTCCCTATTTTGGGTAACTGAGAAAAAAGAAATCTCCAGGCTCCCCAGATGAAAACTCATCCCAAACCTGGGGGTGGGGGTGGGTGGGGTGGTTTATTATCACAACTGGAGGTGGCACGATGGTTGTCAAGGCGCTCTGACTGAGTCATGAATACATCCCGACGGTGCGTGACGCTGACAGGAAGGAATATTGATAGTCAATAATTGCAGGCTTTTAGGCCCAACAAAGCAGCGCTTCCCTCTTTTCATAAATTATCTGATGACATCTATCTTAAAAATTGCCATGCCAGGGCTGACCCAGCCCGACTCCACTGACTTTCCATCGAGTGCCATCTCCACTCAAGATTTATCGTTTCACTTACATACAGGATGGTGAAACGTGGCTCACCATGGCTTACCTCCCTCCCGGACCACCCCCAATACGGCAACTGTGGTATGCGTCTGACACAGAGGAAGAACAGACGGCCCTCTCCAGAGCGAAGCAATGAAAGGCCAACGTTTGACAACAGGGCAAAATCTGTAATACTCACCGGATCTTCCTTCCCTTGCTGGCCTTTCGGTCCACCTTCTTTCGGATTTTGCTCCGCAATTTCTGAATAGCCAGCCACTGCCTAGGAAAACCAGAAAGATGTAGCAAGGATTATTATGGAGTTTTCTTCCGGTTTTCTTTTGAAAAAAGGCAACTCCCAAAATTGTTTCCAATGTGACTCCAAGCAATCAAAGTCTAACACAAGTCGGAAAAAGTTCAGCACAACAAAAAGTTCCCTGGGCAGGGGGCTCTGACCAACGGCTTCCGTGCCCTGCCTCCAATGGCGGCTGAAAGTGGACAGATCCAGCCCTGCCCCAGATAGCCCAGGCAAGCCTGATCTCAGAAGCTCAGAAGGACCGACCCCGGCAAGCATTTGGACTGGGAGGCAGAGGCAGGTGTGGGAGCTGGCATCGAGGAAAGAGACTGTGCTGTGATGCGGGAGCTCCCTCTGCCACAAACTCACTCAGTGGCCTTAGGCAACCCACGTTCCCTCAGTCTCCCCAGCAGAAATATGGGCACAGTAGTACTGGCCTACTTTATAGGGCTGCTCTAAAGATTATGACAAAATTACCCATGTAATGTGCTTTGAGAAGGCTGTATAAATGCTAACTGTTGTTACAGTCAGCACAGGGAACACGCACAGTTAAGTAAACGTGAGGACTGCCCCTCAATTGTGGCACTCTCCCGAAGACGTGTCAACTCCCAAGTTCAAGCGACACATTCAGTGAAGTCACAGCGTACAGCCCTTCCCAGATTGTACCACTGCATGCTGAACGGGGGTGGGGTGGGGAGGGGAGGGTATCACACATTTAAACCCTACTCCTTGCTCAAAATTATCCACTCACAGAAAATTAGGACAAAAGTCTTCACCTTGCCATGCTAATTATCTAGGGCAAGGGTCCCCAATTTGGTGTAGTGGTTAAGTGCGTGGACTCTAATCTGGGAGAACCCGGTTTGATTCCCCACTCCTCCACTTGCAGCTGCTGGATGACCTTCGGCAAGCCATAGTTCTGGCAGAGCTGTTCTTGAAAGAGCAGTTCTGGAAAAAGCTCTCTCAGCCCCACCGACCTCACAGGGTGTCTGTTGAGGGGAGGGGAGTAAAAAAGGATAGATGTACAGTAAGCCACTATGTTTAAGTCTGGACTGAAGGCCTGGGAGAGGAGCTAGTATCTCTCCGCTGCAACAGGTCGCATTCTGCTTCACAGTCACATGGAACATAACAAAATGACAGACTTTAAGCGACACAAGAGCTTATTTTGTGCTTGCCAAAAGTGCAATGTAGTGCTATGGGGCAAATGCTTATTTCTTTCTCCGATGCTGTGCTTAGAGGGGGGGTGAAACCTAAAATTACAAGAAAGAAAAAAACATTTCCAAAATCCTGTTTAACAAACGGTATACATTTAAACAGCCACTGGCTATATAATTTGGAAGCACATAAAAACAGAGCGGTGGGGACGGGACCAAACCAAATAAAGGGGGGGGGATGTGAACAGGCTGCTATGAAGCAATCTGATGCGTTATGAAAAGGCTCAGGGGTGCTGGCGAAATCGTTTTTTGCCCTTGTTAAAAATACAGCCTAGTAAGGTTTTTTAAGTATGCCTTGCCAGGTTTATTTGGTGGTATGTCTGGAACATTATGGAAACCTCCTCTTGCTATAATTTAAGCAGGACGCAGGCCCCCCCACCCCCAAACCGCACTTAAGCGGTGGTTACATTGTACATTTATCTGACTTCACAATAAAATAGATTACGGTAATTAAGATTATATTAAGATTGTAGTAATTGGATTTTGAGATTTCCCCCCCGATGCAGGGTTCTGCGTTGAGTAAATCAGGTATAGGCGATGCCACTTTCAGGCTTAAAAATAAAAATGTTTATAACTAGCAGCAGGGACTTTCCCTCCCCACCTTGCCTCTCAGCACATCTTTGGCGCATACAGATCTGGTGCAATAAAAAAGCCAGTCCAAAACTACCTCCTCACCACCTCAGCCAGCCCAGACCAGTGCTGACAAGGAAGAGAGGTCCACAGAACATCCAAACACTTGTCTAGAAGAGTATGAATACTAGGATCCAAACCCAAGGCATTACTATTCCCTGCACTGCGTTTCTGCCCTCACAAGAGCCACCCGGGCGGCTAACAATTTAAAATAACCATGATAAAATCACACTTCAAAACCATTAAAACCAACCCCCCGACACACGTCATTAAAATAAATTAAAAGCAAGAGTTAAAATACATACAGTGGGCGCTTTCAGGCATGCTAAATAATGCTGTTTCAATCCACTTCAGGCCATTTGCAAGTGGATTCTGCCATTTCACATAGTAAAATCCAGCTGCAAGGTACTTTGAAAGTGGACTGGAAGTGATTTAGTGTGTGTGTGAAAGCACATCAAAACAGCAATTAAAACATCCGCCAAGGAGGAGGGATCACTGAGGGAAAGCCACACAAACCAAAAAAGTCTTCATCTGCTGGCAGAAGAGGGCAACAGAAGGGGAAAGATGAATCTTCCAGGGGAAGGGGGAGTTCCACAGCTTTGGTGCCACGACTCAGAAGAAGTGCGTGGACTCTAATCTGCGAGAACCGGGTTTGATACCCCACTCCTCCACACACAGCTGCTGGATGACCTTGGGCAAGTCATAGTCATGTCAGAGTTGTTCTCACAGGGACAGTTCTCGAGAGAGCTCTCTCAGCCCCGCCTACCTCACAGGGTGTCTGTTGTGGGGAGGGGAAGGGAAAGGAGATCGTTAGCTGCTCTGAGACTCCGAGTGAAGGGCAAGGGATATAAATCCAATATCTTCTCTTCTTCCTCTTCATCTTCTTCTTCTCTCCTGGGTTGCCACCTGCCTAACCTCAGATGGCAGCGGCCCTGAAGAAGGGCCTCCGTAGATAACTGTAGTGGTTGGGCGAGTTTATAAGGACGCAAAGTCACTGGGCTGAATTCACACAACCAGTGTTTCCAAGATTCATGTATTTATGACTAACTCATGGCTGCCAAGTGGGGGCGGGTATACCCCCGCTTCGAAGGCCTGATTTCCGCTTCCGCGGAATCGGATCCCGGGGGGAACTCCGCCCCCCCCCGAAGCACAGCTTGGCCACGCCTTCAATGTGATCGAAGTCGTGTGTCACTTCCGGTGACGTGCTGGCGGCGCGCGAGCGCTTTGCGCGCGCACACGTCAAAGAACAGCTCCCGGAGCCCGGCAAGGCTCCCCCGCCGGTAAGAACATTTCACTTGGCAACCCTACTCATGACCAGGGGTGGGAGTGGGGAGTTAAATTTCCTACCTGAAGTACTTTTATCTACCCTACCAAGTATTAAATCAGGGTGGAGGCAGGATGTCTGACCAGAACTCCACTCATAAGGAAAAAGAGGTCCCCCAAAGTAGTGAGGGAGTAGTGGAGGTGGTGGTGGAGGGAGGGGGGAAGAGGAAGAGGGGGAGGAGGAAGGGGAAGAGGAGGAAGGAGAAGAGGAGAGAGAGGAGGAAGAAGAATTGGTTTTATGCCCTTCCCTTCACTACCCAAAGGAGTCTCGGAGTGGCGTACAATCTCCTTCCCTTCCCCTCCCCACAACAGATACCCCACCATGAGGTAGGCAGGGCTGAGAGAGCTCTGAGAGGACTGGCCCAAAGTCACCCAGCTGGCTGCATGTGGAGGAGTGAGGAATCAAACCCAGTTCTCCAGATTAAGAGTCCACCACTCTTAACCACGACACCACAGCTGGCAAGTCGCACACAGACCAATGAGTCTTCCCTACCTGCCTGGGATGGCAAAAATCAGAGGACGTGTTGAGCCAGCCTCAGTCTGGAAGTTTCGTGACAACCCTAGTTTGATTTGGAAGCCCAAACAACGGCTCGTTTTGGGATGAGATCTCAGGCATTCTTTCCCCTTCCAACCATATCACCAAAAATTGTCTTTAAAAAACAATACTTTTTTTTTTAGCATCATCAGTATTAAAAAATTGCTAAAGAAAACTGGTGGGACAAAACAGGAAAAGATTGATATTCTCGCACTTCCCAGCACCACCACACCACGAGCTACACCTGGCTCCTACAATACTGGGCCTTGGAAGACACTAAATCCCATTTTTTTTGTTCTGAAAGGTCTTTTTAAAAAGTAATTCCAACCCTGATTTTAAACTGTGTTTTTTTTTAAACCTCTTGTCCTTGCACTACGTAATTACAATAGTAAAATCAAGGTGCAATCTGTCTCCAGCAGTTCTCAGACATCTAGAACCTCAGGTAGGTTGAGAGCTGGGTGCAGTTCTCAAACCACCTTTGCTCATTTTATAGGGCTGCTAAGCAATCCTCAGACTGGATTGTTCTTCCACCCTCCGTTGAGGTTTGGGGGATTCTAAGAAGTCCCCTCAACTCCCCCCCCCGATTTTAGGATTTTTCTGGGAGCCTGTGAGGGTTCCCCAGGTTTGCAAACAGATGTCCCCTCTCTGCACATGGCCCTATTGTGTGGATTTTTTGATTCACACTCTGTGACCTTTGTTCAGGATTAGACACACACACACACACGTTGACTTCTTGTGAAGTACAAACTCTCCAACTCCCCAGAGCACCACATAGAGGGCAGAATGGCCATCTGAGAATACATAAATTGCTCACCCACAAATTACACTAAGCGAAACCCTGGTGTACTGCTCACCTTCCCATTGCTACTTGATCATTTGGGTCCAAGGAGCTGGTTTTACGCTCAATAAGTTCACGGAGAAGCTAGAAATAAGAAAAGAGGAAGCCATATTTTTAAAAAGCAAGTATTTAAAGTTCTATGGATGCTGAAAACACAGACAACTTCAGCTCCTAAAGCCATAAACATTTATTAATACCAAGCGACTTACATAAACCTTTTTTTAGCAAGCACACATTAAAAGCAATATAGACACCCTATAAACACGTGTTTATGACGCACTGTATGCTTCTATAGGGCAGGAAATCATGAGTGGACCCTTTGTACATCAGACAGGGCCACACGTGGAAGAATGTAGGCCAGGGCCAACTGTTTTTGGATACTGAACCAAATAGGACAAGATCTGTTCACAACTTACATTTTAACTTCCTGCAGGTATTCAGGGACCAAAAGCCAACTCTCCCACCTGTCCGTTTAGACAGTGGCCTACCCGAAGAAGGGTCTGTCCTTTTGCTTACACAATCATACACCTTCCATACCACCCCCAGTTAAAAAAAAAAAGCAAATACTGAAATCTGCTCCCAACAGGGCAAAGCAGCAATGCCCAAAGTGATTGCCATTAGAAAACAAGAAGACCTGCAAGTCTACTGACAGAGCACCTGCTTTACACCCAGAAGACACCCAGCATCTCAGGTCAAATAATCTTGGGCAGCAAACAGTGGGGAAAAGACCCTTCTCTAACCAAGACCTGGACAGCCATCGCCAGTCACATTAGACGATGCTTTACCAGGTGGAATGGTGGTCTGATTCAATACAAGACAAGTTTACATAAAAGCCTGGATGTACACAAATGAGCGAACTTGTGAGGAACTGGGCTGTGGCTCTGAGTGCAGAAGGTCCCAGGGCCAGTCAGTGTAAAAGACCCTGACCTGGGTCTCTGAAGCTTCACTGCTAATCCAAGTAGAGAATACTGACCTTGACGGACCAAGGTATAAAGTGGCTTCATAGGTTCTCACACATACACATGCTTTGGATTTATAGCCCTACTGCTGGTTTTTATTACCGAGGTTCAATGTTGCACTGACAGCTAACCTGAGCTTTGAAAGGGCAAGGGACATCCACAGATTAGCCTCTCGCACAGGAAGGCTTCGTGGAGCTCCTAAGGAGTGGGGAAGAGGAGAGAGGAAGCCAGGAAGCGCTTAGGAGTGCACCACGGAACGCCATTAAGGAGACTTATCGTACTACAGTTAATTCCGGACGAATCAATGAGCGCCGCAGCTTTCCCTTCATCATTTTATGATTAGCCTAATCCACCCTCTCTGTATCAGCCCAAAATCTTTAAAAGGTCAGGCAGAAAACACGGGAGAAAGGCAGAGGAGGTGTTCATCTCTGAGCAGTTAACGACCTTAAACCAAACAAAGCAGGGTTGGCGTCTGGAGTAGCAAGTGCCGGCCAGTGGTTCGATGCCATCCGCCGATCCATCTGGGCATCTGGTGGAAGCTGCAGGCACCTGTGACTAGAAGGGGCCCTGGAGAGGGCCAGGATGATCAGCTCACACCAGGCCGCCACCCTTGCTCAGGGTCATAAACACACAGCACCCAAAGAGAGCGAGGTCGCAGCCCTCACAAACAGGGCACTAGACTCAGAGACACAAAGGCACTGCTGGCTCACGCACCCCTTCTCCCTGCTCTCATTCGCCATCCTCCGCGCTGAGTGGAGTTGGGCCAGTCACACACTCTGCCTGACCTACCTCACAGGGCTGTTGTGAGGATAAAACAGAGGAGAGAAGAAGGCAGGAAGCCGTTTTGCGTCTCCACTGGGGAGAAAGCTGGGGTGTATAAATGTATTTTACCTCTCTCAGTATGCCCCCGGAAGAGCGAGCGCTATGCTTGGTAAGTAAGAATCTCCTGGTGGTCCCCGGCCCAAGGGAAATCCGGCGGCCCTCAACCAGGGCCACGCCTTTTTCGGCCCTGGCCCCCACCGGGTGGAGCTCTCTGCCGGAGAACACCCATGCCCAGCAGGATTTGTAAGGCAGAGATGTCCCACCAGGCATTCGGTTGAGGACAGTGATGGTGCAGTATGTGGTCTGGCACTTTCATACCCTCCATTCTCCACGCCCCCCCCTCCCCCCGGAGGTTTGTGGGAGCTGAATTTTCTTCAGCCATCATGGACCTGCATTGTTTTATTTGTTGATATATGTCTTATGTGTTTTATTGTTGGTTTTAACTTAATTTATTTATCGAGATTACAGCCCTTGCACTCTGGGAAGAAGCTACCAACAACAACGCTGTCGTCTCATTTGGGGAAAAAATGCAGGCCAGGAAGGTCTGAGTGTCACTCGGTGTCACTGAAGGGCTCTTGGTGACTTTACAATGGAGTTAAGTTCAACCACCAGAAATGTAAGTGGGTAGGTTTACCCTCTGTAGTGGTAAGAGGCGGTGGTACTTTGTCCCGGAACAAACTCCCTCCCCTTTTCAATTCCATCCTGAAAAACCCAGTTCCACAAATACATTGGCAGTACTTTTCCCAGCACCCTCTGCTATTGAAACGTAAGTTCTTATTTATTCATTCATTTCATTGATACCCCACCTTCCTGCCCAACAGGGACGCCAAGCGGCTTATAGTCATTCTCCTCTCATCCATTTTACCCTCACCCTGTGAGGTGTGCAAGACTGAGCGTGCACAGCCAGCCCAAGGTCACCCGGTATGTTTCCCTGGCAGAGTGGAGATTCAAACCTGGGTCTCCCACATCCTAGCCCAACACTCTAACTACGACACCACACTGGTTCTCGTGCGTAGAGATGTGAAGGCCCAGGAAAAAAGCAGAAAAATTCGGGGGGGTTCAAATATTTTCCAAATAATTTCAGATTGATCTAATTTCTGTGCACTGAGGACAAGCAAGTCCTAGGTTACAAACTGAACTCTCCAATGCAAGAACAAGATGCATTTCTTCCTTTAGGAGGTGCGATTGTCAGAAGAAAATAAAAAAGTTTCAGTTTTGTTTTTGCATGTGGGTGGGTATTCTGTTTGTAATAATTGTTTGGATACACTATATTTTTAATATGCTAGTTGTGATAATTTCATGCCAAGTAAAAATGTCCATAGTCATATTTTATGTTCCTAAAGTAACGGAATGACTTTCAATCTAGAAAAGACAAAAGAAATGCTAATGTGGCATTTTTTTCCATTTTTCCGAAAATTTCCTTTTCCAAAAAAACCTGGGGAAAAAACGGGGTTTTTTCCGAGCTTCAAAATTTCCGGAAATTTTACATCTCTACTCATGCGTGAACTGGACCCTTGGATACTGTCCCGGGGTACGAGAGGAGGGCACAGGATACAGCACCCTTGCTAAAGCCACACAGACCTGGGTCTGGCGGGGGAGAGGAAGAGGAGGAGGAGCTTGGATTTATACCCCGCCCTTCACTACCCAAAGGAGTCTCAGAGCGGCTTACCATCCCTTTCCCTCCTCTCCCCACAACAGGCACCCTGTAAGGTAGGCGGGGCTGAGAGAGCTCTTTCGAAAACTGCTCTTGAGAGAACAGCCCTGAGAGAACTTGTGACTGACCAAAGGTCACACCAGCAGCTGCATGTGGAGAAGTGGGGAACCAAACGCGGTTCTCCCAGATTAGAGTCCATGCTCCTAATCCACTACACCAAACGCATTGGAACTCCTAGGCATGCTACCTAGAATGGAAACCAAGCTGGGTGAGAAACCAAAATCTAAGCTTTTTTTTTTTTTTTAAACAAGTCTAGTTCTTCTGGCGGAAGAAAGTTTTTCCATGGTGGAAGAATCGCAGGAACTAAAGGAAAGTTATTTCAAAAATAAATAAATGGTACTTATTCAGTCATGCACTGATGGCGCTAAAAAACCACACAAACCTCACAGAGATGAGGAAGAGGAGGAGATCAGATTTATACCCCGCCCTTCACTACCCGAAGGAGTCTCAGAGCGGATTACCATCCCTTCCCCTCCTCTCCCTATAACAGACACCCTGTGAGGTAGGTGGGGCTGAGAAAGCTCTTTCGAGGACTGCCCTGACAGAACTTGTGACTGACCCAAGGTCACACCAGCAGCTGCATGTGGAGGAGTGGGGAATCAAACCCTGTTCTCCCAGATTAGAGTCCGCGCTCCTAACCACTACACCGAACTGGAAGCATTTTCTATTTCCAGAAAGGGTCTCCCCTGTTCACAGGCAAGCCATCCTCAACTTCTGGTCTTGCCGTCTAGGAGGCAGGACTTCCAGGGCACTGGCCAAGAAGGCTTAGAAGCTCATAATCTCTATTTTTTTAAAAAAAAAATTAAAGCAAGCACTGAATGGAAGCAAAAGTTTAGAATTAGGTTGCTGGAACAAAAAAAAAATCTCGAAAAAAATCAAGAGGGAACAAAAATCAGCACAACACAAACCTCTACAGCCTAATAATACGCAAGCCACATTAAAGGGTACCACTTTGGTTGGGCTGTCTTTATCAAAACAGATATTTAAAAGATATTTTAAAAAGAAAAACGAATACACATTGTCTCTCCCTCGCAAACTCTTTTGCACTGAAACCACTTGAAAACAAAAACAAAGAAAGGCAATTAAAATGCCCCCTGTGATGTTTTCTTCATTTGCTGATTCTCTCCCCCCACCCCCCAAATTATTATTACTGCAGCAATTATGTTCAGAGCCGTTAAGGGCCAGACAGGCCGTTGCTTTGTTCTTGCAGGGACTGGGGGGTGGGAGAGAGAGAGAGAGAGAATAGAAAACGCAGCAAGCGCTTCTCTCCGTCCTGTTTATCTGATTGATTCCCCAACATCTTCTTGGCACACAATCTATCAGTTTATCTCTCCCACTTCATCACAGTCACTCCTGGCAGCTAAATACAAGATCCAAATCCAGCCTTACGCCGACAGACGACACAGTAAACCTGTGTAACTCCAACACTGCTCTGTAAACACCTGCCCTTAAGGGCTCAGCGGGGAGGGGAGGAAAGAGGGCTGCGTGTCTCCCATGCAATATCGCAGAGTGCAGGAAGAGAGATCAGGAGAGGCCGTCTGAAGAGGCGCCTGCGGTTTGACCCTATTCTGCACCAACTGCTGGGTAAC